TAATAAATTCGAGGAATACAAAAGGAATCTTAGCTTAATGACGATTTCTTTGAAGTTAGTCACGACGCTTCCTCTGATTCTCCTAGACTCGTCATGGAACACTGGGAGTTGATTAACATGGGAAATGACAGCTCGGAGAATTCTTCACACACGCTGCAAAAACAATTGTTTCCAGTAGCAACAGATTAAACTACTGGATTTCTATGTTCAATAAATGGATATTAATAAAAGGAGAAAGATAATGACCTGTGATCTTTAGTTGTTATACGTCGTCACGACAAGCTACCCAGCTATAAACCCACCCCCGATCTGATGCATCAAACAAGGATAAGGTACTTAGCTAATATGGGCACTGTGTACGTTAAGGCTTGCCGAAGGTCGCGTCCTAGGCTCTAGACTTGTCTATCCTAGATACTGACGCGCTCCACTGGCCGGTCACATGGAGTTACATAGAACCAAATTTAACAGGTTCCGTAAATGACACTGACACCAAGTGAAGGTATTGTCTGCAAGGTTCTTCACACCTCACAGTGGCGACTTTCTTCTGGAGATTTAATAGCGTTTACCCTGGTGGCTGGGTAATGGCGTCTTCTCGTGAGCACCCCGTGAACACGCCTACTCGTGAGCGTTTCAACACGTGGACTGGCGTCTTCTTCCGCCCCGCTCCGCGTCCCGCATTTATTAACCAAATTATTTATTACGGATATTATCATTTCTCGTGGTTGTGCTTGAAATGCTCGGGTTAGGACGGGTTTATTATTTGGAAGAGTCAAATATTATTATTTGTCCGTTTTATGATAGTAAACGAACAATGGAGAAGAATTATAATCTCTCCAGGGCATTCACGCGTGACGTTAATTTTATTACTAGATAACAGCTATAACTATAAACGCTATATTTGGCTCTAGTTGGAGATCAGTTTATCTGTAATTAATTATCACACAGAACACCGTTGTTTATGGAGAATCAAATTCAATTCTCCGGCACATTGGATATAAATGTGTTTATTACAATGGAATCTGACGCAATACTGGCGTCGGGTGACGTAAGAATTCTAGCCTTACTGTGCAGATGTAATTATTAGTACATGTGAACTCTACGTTGGGTTAATTTTAATCACTACAATGATTAGTAGAACTAGTAGTAATTAATGAGAATACAACAGTGTTGTATTTAGTGTTGGAAATTTCCAACATGATTCTTGTGCATCTCGGGGCACCAAGAATTATCCTCATGGCTTCATTCTGTACTACTTTAAGTTTGTCCAACACAGAGGTGTGGAAGTTATGTAAGTGCAGAGCATAATAATCAACGAGAGATCTAACGAACATCATATAGAATAGTCTAGCATATTTAATATTGATACCAATATTCTTACCAGTAAGTGTTTTCAATGACTTTAGTTTTTCTTTTAACCTACGGTGTAGATCATTTACAATGTCACTGTTAATACCAAGTCCAAGATATTTGTGCTGCCTACACGTTTCAATGTTCTGGTTGTTGACCTTGAAAGTAATAGGGACATGAATTTTCTCTTTGGGATGGAGAATTCTGGATTTAGTTATAGAGATAACAAGACCACATTCAATGCTTTTAGCAGCGAGTGAATCAAGTAGAGCTTGCAGTCTAGTTTGGGAATTTGCAACACTGCATATGTCATCGGCATAACAGATGACGGCTTCGTCAGGTAGTGTGGGAATATCATTTGTTAATTTGTGCATCAGAACATTGAACAGTGTAGGACTTAGCACTCCATCCTGGGGTGTACCCAACTCAAAGGGTGCACAAAGTTTACTTTTGACCCCCCTTGAAAAGGACTGAGGCGGTTCTGTTACTCAGGTAACCCCTGAGCCATGTCAGCAGTCTTCCCTTAACTCCAAAAAAGGCTAGTTGTTCTAGGATTATTTCTCTGTTTGCTGTATCAAAAGCAGTTTGGAGATCAATAAATGCCGCCTGAGAGTTTGGTCCCTCTCTGATAAAATATTCAGCAAAGTAAGTTTGTGTGCTTCTTCCAGGAAGGAAACCATACAGGTTAGGGGCAAGGTGGGGCTTGATTTGAAACATTAGTCTGTTGAGGATAATTCTCTCAAGAACTTTACACATGCACGACGTCAAAGAAATGCAACCCGTTCTCGCAAATTTAATAAGTCAATATTGACTTATTAAATATGTGCATAGGTGACATACTTAACATTATAGATACCCTTAAAAAGATTCATAGAAAACACCGACCTTACCTAACCTTGTTAGTATCTTAAGATAAGCATCTTATTGCTTCGTAATTACAATTATTACCTAACCTATAATAGGTATAGGTTAAGTAATAATTGTAATTACGAAGCAATAAGATGCTTATCTTAAGATACTAACAAGGTTAGGTAAGGTCGGTGTTTTCTATGAATCTTTTTAAGGGTATCTATTATGTTTAGTATATCACCTATGCACGTAGTTAATAAGTCAATATTGACTTTACGAATTTGCGAGAACGGGTTGAAGAAATGGGTCTGAATTTTTGTGAATTAGGCTTGGGTATGGGTATTATGAGTCAGGTAATTTTTTTTATTAATACATTAGGTACATCTGCATTAGTGCAGCTGCCCTAGACTATATGAAGTGGAGTACAGTGTGTGAAAAAAGCTGACTACGTGATGCTATAAGAGTCAGGTAGAGGGCGGACCGCATGTGTTAAACCCCACGTTAATCACACGCCATATTTAACAGTTGACTCCAGGAGATTGGCCTAGTGGTGTTCAAAATTGTTAATATTTCTTAAAACAAGTAACTTAGGGCAACCCTGACCAGCCCACGTCCGTCCAGTACGCCAGACGGACACCCTACTGCACTTCACCCTACTGCAAATATGGGTGAAGTGTCTGACCTCCAGCCTCGGGTAGACAGACAGACATTCTCTCTTACATGTATAAATTACTTTTAAGAACATAAGAATAAAGGTAACTGTAGAAAGCCTATTGGCCCATATAAGACAGCCCCTATTTATAACCACCCAATCTCATTGATATAAATGTCTAACCTACGCTTGAAACAATCAAGGGATCCTACTTCTATTATGTTACGTGGTAATTGGTTCCACAAATCAACAACCCTGTTACCGAACCAGTATTTACCAAGGTCTTTCCTAAATCTAAACTTCTCCAATTTATACCCATTGTTTCGTGTTCTGTCTTGTGTTGATAAGAAACAATGGAATCAAGAGCTTCTGAATCAATGAGGATCAGTAGTTATTGGTACAGTCATTAATAAGTTTTTAATTATACTCAGAATTGATTCGTATAATGATATTTATGATTTAGTTAAATTTGTCATTTAAGTAAATCATAATTAAGTCTCCTTTCCTAATTAAGAACCTCAAATTGCCTCTTCCTCTCCTGTTACACTGGGACCAGGATGGAAGATGTGGAAAGGTTTAAGACAGAGGTTTTCTCTCCCTTGGAGAGGATGAAGAGGAGGGATCCCGCATGGTTTTTAGACCAGATGATGTGGACGGAAGGTCGAGAGGATTATTCTCACTCCTAAGATTATTATGTATAGAGATAATGCAACGTTCTTCAAGTTGATCTTTGACATACACTTGATTTCATGATCTATAACACCCACCTTTGAATTGAATTAAAAAAGGATATCTCATCCAGATTCCTACTCAGTCACTCCTAAAAAAGTCCTCTACCGTTGACAAGATAATTAGTCAGGTGTTATGAGTAACTAGCTACATGTTATTAACGGTCCTTGTAATGGCCACTTGCACTTAATTCATGGACACTTGATGGAGTAAAGATCTGCTCCTCACTGCCCATACTGCAGTGACTTATGCTCGAACACCTCCTTGTATAATATGACATGATTTTCTGGATCAACGTGAACCAACCTTTCCTAAAGTTTATTTGAGTAACTGGTCCATCGCAAAATTCCTTGGTGAATACACCATACCATTGATATCACGCATCTTAGGACCTGATATTCATGTATCTTTAGAATAATCTAAAGGGAATAAATGTCATCCTGGACACTCCAGCCAAGACATCCATTTCACTCCAGAGCGAAATTCCATAGTCTCCCAAGACTGCAGGATGCCTACTACTAGGACATTTTGATCTTGTATTAGCGTCCAGGATGTCATTTATTCCCTCTTGATTATTTTGCGGCACAGGCGGTACTAGAGAGTGTTTAGGGTTGATAACTCCTTTTTGATAATTACTTATTTTTGAGAGTGAACCTGGACATAACCTCAACTAGACTGTCCATAACAAAAATTAACATTAGTACATTAGTGGAAGAAGACACTTAATAGGTAAATATGGAGGTGAAGATCACTAGCAACTACAGTCTCGTCTGAACAGTTAGGATGAAAGCTTTTGGTCCATGTAGATGAGTCAAGTATATAATGGTATGTAGCAGTCAGCCAGGTGCAAAGGTGAGTCCAAGGTGAGTACGATGCTTCGGTCTGCCTTAGGGGCAGTCATTACAAACCATGTGGATGGGAAAAGGTACTGGAGAGCAGGTCATAAGGGCTGATATAGTAGTTACCACGGCTATGACAGTGGCAGGAGAGGGGAGACGATAGTCACGGAGATCAACAGGCCATGCCTAGTTAGGCCCAGTCAGGGCAGCAGACCGGGCTAGTCTAGGCAGCAGGCAATGATAGTCAGGGCAGAAGGCAGGTCTTGTGAGGGGAGAAGCCGTGGGGTCAGCAGGGAAGACGCCAAATACTTCTGGAACCAAAATTCAATACATCCACACTGGCAGGTTTACTGATAACCCAAACAGGAATCCTAAGACTGCCGGCACACGTGAGAGCCTGACGCTCCAGCACACCAGAGAGGGGAGCAGATCCCACCTTGGACGCCTGGAAAACAGGTTGCAAATGTCTCCTTCATATGTCAAGGCAGCGTCTGTGAGGGAGGTCTATAAATGTAAATATGAAATGGTGTACGTATTCCTTCCCCAGTGAGTCGACCTCTGACCCATGTTACTCACACCACCAGCGTACTTCAACACGACCTGAGGCAGCTGAGTGAGGAGGATGGGTGGAGCAGCTGGAGGGAGAGAGAGGCGCGGGCGCTGAGTGAGCTGGTCCAGCGCCGCCTGCACCGCCTCCAGAACCCTCCTGACTGTGCCACAGCTAAGAAACTCGTCTGTTCTATAAACCACGTAAGCCACTGCTTGTTTTGCAGGTTATGTATATATATATATATATATATATATATATATATATATATATATATATATATATATATATATATATATATATGTGTATTTATATATATATTTTATATATATATGGAAGGGAGTACCACCTCTAGCTGGAAGAAGGGAGACCCATAGCCTCGGAGAAAACCACGCATAACGCATTAGAGGGAATGTTTATATATATATATATATATATATATATATATATATATATATATATATATATATATATATATATATATATATATATATATATATATATATATTTTGGTAGCAGTCTTTCCTGTAGACATATATTATTAAATATGACCGAAAAAGTAAGATTAATAATTCTAACACGAATTTTCTCAATCTTTCGTACATTTCTTTTCACTGTTGGAGGTAAATCAAAAATCAATTCTCCAAAATTCATTTTTATTTCTAGTCTGACGCGACACGAGCGCGTTTCGTAAAACTTATTACATTTTCAAAGACTTTAGTTCACAAATACACAACTGAATAGAACTTACGCATCTCCGATTATATATCTACATTTGAGTGAGGTGGAAGGGGTGATGTGGCATTAACACAAGACAGAACAAGAGGTGGCATTAATAGGGTATTAATTTCATCAACACAAGACAGAACAAGAGGTGGTATTATTAGGGCGGTATTAATAATTAATACTTGCATAAACCACAAAGGTTTATGCAAGTATAGGCTTATAAGCTGGACACAAGTTCTCTCACATTGACAGTGGCTTGACGAAAAATGCAGACTAACCCCACACTCATCTGGTGCCCTCGGGAGGTGGAGATATTTGAGATGTATATATATCTCGAAGTCTCTACTTCTTTTGTAGGGTCTGATGGTGTAGTGGGTTAAAGCATACTAGTTATGACAGCTACTGGAAGGTAGTTGTGCTTTCTGGGTTCGAGTCCCACTGGTGGGTGTTGTCCAAAGATTGTTAATCTTCACTTGTGGTTTATGCAAGTATAGGCTTATAAGCTGGACACGAGTTCTCTCACATTGACAGTGGCTTGACGAAAAATGCAGACTAACCCCACACTCATCTGGTGCCCTCGGGAGGTGGAGATATTTGAGATGTATATATATCTCGAAGTCTCTACTTCTTTTGTAGGGTCTGATGGTGTAGTGGGTTAAAGCATACTAGTTATGGCAGCTACTGGAAGGTAGTTGTGCTTTCTGGGTTCGAGTCCCACTGGTGGGTGTTGTCCAAAGATTGATATATATATATATATATATATATATATATATAGATATATATGTGAGAAAACTGCATGAACGCGCAAGCCATATATCACTAAGAACTCTTTGATCCGGCCAGGATTCGAACCCATGCCGTCCAGGATCACCCCTAAACGTACACAGTACTGTGACCACCGCACCAATGATCGTCTATAAGGATTGGTCAGTCATGAGTGTCGTCGCGGGTTGGTCAGTCAGGAAGCTTAGTTAATAAGCGCCATGACTGACCAATCCTTATAGACGATCATTGGTGCGGTGGTCACCGTACTGTGTATGTTTAGGGGTGATCCTGGACGGCATGGGTTAGAATCCTAGCCGGGTCAAAGAGTCACACATATATATATATATATATATATATATATATATATATATATATATATATATATATATATATATAAATATATATATATATATAATGATAATAAGAGAGAATGTCTCTGTCCAAAGACGGAGGCCAGATACTTAGGGTTAGCCTCACCCAAATTGTCAGAGAGGGAATAGGTCTGGTGTATAATAATTATATTAATAATTTTTATTTAATAATTTATTTAATAATAATAATCTATATAAATAAATATGTAGGTGTTCGTTTGTTCAAAATCGCTAATCTCCGAAAGTACTTCACTGATTGCTTTGAAATTTTCGTACAACGTTCCATTCGCATCCGAGCGGGTTTCTATATACTTATTATATAGATGTCATGTCTGTGACAGGAAAAACTTGTTTTTTTTTTTTTTTACTGTTTTTCATGTGAGGGAAATCCTTGAAACCTCTTTACCGCTTGCTTGGAAATTTTGACACAAAATTGCATTCGAATAGGCACGAGTTTTTATATACCTACTATATAAATGATTCACCTGTGACAGGAAAACAACTGCTTTTTTGAAAAAAAGCGCCATCTGTTGGACGTAGGAGCAACAAACGCTGTGATCTCTGAAAGTTCTTCACCGATTGCTTCAAAATTTTGACACAAAGTTCCATTCAAAAACGTGTGTGTTCATATACCTACTATATAGATGCCACACCTGTGACAGGTAAAAACATGTTTTTTTTAAACAACGCCATCTGTTGCACATAATAGCAACACATGCTATAAACACACACTATACTACATAAGTTACGATTCCCTTTCAATGTTTCCGATTGCATTGACAAATTGAATTTTCATAGATTTCGATTTATTTTCATTTTGATTGAATTATTTTCTGTGACATTACATTGGAATTGAGCTGTGCTGTTTACCATACCGTTCATTTCATAAGTTAATGCGAGTTAATTCATGAGTTAATTTCATTTCACTCAAACATCCGCTTCTACCCTCTATCATTTATGGACTAACATAACAGCTCACCGTACCTCAGGTATAATTACTGACAGAACAACTTACCATTATCCTACCTTCCTTCTAGCGAACATGGCCATAACTCCAATGCTAACAAGAAAATTACCTTTAGGTTACACAGTGAAGCAGCAATAGGCAATCTCACAAATGCTCCACAATACAAACTGGGAATCTGAATTTAATAATACACAGGATATAAATTCATTAACTAACCTTTTCCTTTCCAAAATTCTACGCCTTTACAATACTTATTGTCCTCTCCTCACCAAGCAAGTAACTGGCAAAAGGTTAAATAATCCCTGGCTCACAAATGGCATACTATACTCACATATGGCAATCGACAAGAAACATGAATATGAAAAAAAGTTAGGATTGGCCAAGTTGCAAAGGAAGTAGTTAAGAGGTACTCGTCAGTGCTTACCAGTATAATAAGAAAAACAAATCTTTCCTATTACGAGAATAGGTTCAAAGAAGCAAATGGCAGAATGAAAAGCACATAGAGAGCCATCTCTAACATTCTAGGAGCTAAACAACATTCACATAACCAGATAAAAATCTCCAAGAATGATTATACGCCTGCAACAGATCTAGAAACAGCAACTGAGTTTAATAGCTTCTTTTCATCAAACACCAGATTGGTGCTAACCTTCCCCGTAAAATCCCACAGACCCAGACACATGTTGCCACATATCTTTCAAGTAGCTACACTCTCTCCTCCTTTCACCGGTCAGCCCTACAGATGTTGTGTCCAACATTCACTCACTAAAAACCATAGCTGGAAACATTAGTGAAATATCATCCATGGTATACAAGAGTGCCTTCCATGCCCTTGCACCACCCATAGCTTTGCTGTTCAATAAATCTCTAGTGTCATACTTTCCCTGAAATCCTTAAAAAAGCAAGAGTAACGCCAGTTCATAAAGGAGGCAATCCGGCAGACATAAACAATTACAAACCTATATAAAATCAAACTATATTATCAAAAATATTTGAAAAAATTATTTACAAACAGCTCTACTCCTATCGCGTAAAATTCAACATACTAAGTCCCTGTCAGTTTGTCTTCTGCTCCCAAAAGAGTTCTAATGGTGCAATTGTTAGTCTGCTTGACTTAATCCACTCAGCCCTTGACAAAAGAAGTTTCCGAGTGGACTCTTCATTGACCTGAGAAAGGCTTCTGATACTGTTAACCATAACTACCTCTTACTTGAACTCCACCATTATGGAATCCGAGGCCTTGCCCTGAACTGCTGTATATCCGATTCCTATCTTAGTGACAGACACCAATATGTAGCCATCAATGATATAACCTCTCCCACTCTACCATTAACCGTAGGGGTGCCACAGGGCAGCATCCTAGGACCCCCTCCTATTTCTTATATACATTAATGATCTGCCTAATGTCTATGCCTAACATCCTTAAACCTATATTGTTTGCTGATGATACTACCCTCATCTACTCTGACCCCAACCCACTCATATTAAATAATGTTGTAAACAATTAATTAAAAAAAAGTCCACGTGTGTATGTCAACCAACAAACTCACACTAAACATAGAAAAGACCTACTACATCTTATTTGGAAGCAAATCAAGAAATGGAATTTAGCTTCAGATAGACAATGTAAACATTAGCAATAAAAATGATGGAAAGGTACTTGGCCTATACCTAGACAAGAGACTCAACTTCAGCACCAACATACAACACATAACTAAAAAGGTTTCTAAAACAGTTGGTATACTTTTTAAGATCAGATATTATGTACCCTACTCTGCTCTCCTCTCTCTCTATTATGCACTTATCTATCCCTATCTTACCTATGGTATCTGTGCATGGGGCTCAACCTCTGTAAACTACCTCAAGCCCATCATCACCCAGCAAAAATCTGCTATCAGGACAATAACAAACTCTGCTTTCAGACAACACAGCGCCGGTGTTTAAATCCCTAAACATGCTTAACATAAATTCACTTCATACATTCTCTTGTGTCAATAACATTTATAAAAACTCTTTATCTAAGTGTAAACCCTGTTCTGAAACTCTTCCTGGACAGATGTAATAGAACACATACTCACCACACCAGACATAAATATCTCTTTGATATCCCCAAAGTCAAACTTAATCCGTGTATATGCAAATAAAGGGACCTAGTCTATGGAACTCACTCCCTAATGAATTGAAAAGCTGTCCATCTTTTGCCATATTCAAAAATATAACCAAAAAGTATTTAATTTCATCTTTATAGTTTCCTGCCTAGTGCTTTAATTCGCACTGTATCTAGTGCTATCCAATCCCCAATATATATACCCAAGCCATATTACTTTACCATTGTAACCTTTGATATCATGGTTGTTATATTGAGTGCACATTT